AAAAAAAAAAAAAAAAAAAGATCAAATCAGATTAACTGAGATATCCATCACTTCAAGTATTTATCATTTTATTTTATGTTAGGATTATTCTATATCCATACTGACATTTTTAATATTTAGAAGACTTGTGCCAATTCACATACAGTAAGTCAATAATGGAAAACAGGCAAACATCACTGAACATACATAACAAAAAAATAGAAATGCCACTAAACATGAACAAAAATGTTCAGCCTAAGAATCAAAATCTAAATTGAAGCAAAATGGATGCCATGTTTGTATATTGAATTTGGAAAGATTTTTTTAAGGGATGTATTCAGGTGGTATTTTGGATGTGGAAAGACAAATGCTTTCACAAAGTGCTGATGGGAGTGAAAATTACTGTAACCTTTTGGAAAACTAATCTGTTGTACATATTAGGAATCTTGGATTATTTATGTCTCTTGGCCCAGTATTTCCTGTTTTATTTCTTAGAAATCTATTTTGGGGAAATAATCATAAATAACAATATAGATACATGTATGTATATTACAGAGTTATTCAAAATAGTGAAAGACTGAAAATAATCTAAATGTTCAGAAAGGAAGAGTTTAGGTAAATTATATTAAATATATTTGATATATTTGATATTTGGTATAGCTGCTGAAAAACTGTAGAAAAATTTTAAAGATAGCAGAGAGTCCTTATGATATAATATTAAGTGGGGATAAATGAGGCCACTAAATAATGTATATATACAGTAGCATGATTTCAACTATTTTAAAACATATACATACACATGCATATTCTCACACCATACATGCATGAATAATTTGAATGTGGACAATAAAAGGTAAGAGAGCTTACCTCAAGGTACTAGAGTTTTGGATGATTTTCATTTTGGGGGACATTTATGTAAAATGATCAGTAAATAGGAAACCATTACAAGTAGTGGACCTAAAACTTACACTTGATCTTAGCCAAAAGGCCGAGAAGCGATAGGACCTAAAACTTAAAAAAAAAAATTATAGCAAATGATGGAAGTGTCTTCTCAGGAAGGGGCATTCTTAGGGACAACTTATCACTGAGATCAAATTCTGGGTCTTCATCTTGCTAGTTATGTTACTTTGTGTAAGTTATTTAATCACTCCAAATCTCTTTCTTTCTATGTAAGATATCGATAAGACTTATCTCATGAAGTTTATTGGAAGATTACAGTAATATAATGAATATCCAGTGGCTGGCACGTAATTTCCATGTATAAGTTTCTTATTTGCATACATCCAAGAAGAGGTTCATGACAATGCAATAGGCTTACCATAAACTGTAACCTAGGCAAAGGTTTCCTTCTTAATTTAGAGTTTTAAAATATTTTTATTTAGTATTTCCCTATGTGTTAAGCTTCAGTGAGCAGTTCAGTTGTCCTCCAAATTAGTGCTCCCAAAACTAAATTAACAATCTTTGTTTTTCTATTAATGATTCCTAAAAAGATGGAATATAGAATGTTATTTTTAACTGCTCATTCTCTCCAATCTTACTGGTAGCCCGAATCTTCATTGTGAAATGCAGTAGCCATAATTTTAAATGGGCAAGCTAGCTTTAAGATTTTATGACACATATTATTCAAATTTGAAACTTTTTAATAATCCAGAGTTTTGGCTTGGCACCTGTAGCTCATGCACCAGGGCTGGTGGGTTCGATCCTGGGCTGGGCCTGCCAAACAACAATGAAAACTACAACAACAACAACAACAAAAATAGCTGGGCAGTGTGGCAGGCACCTATAGTCCCATCTAATTGGGAGGATGAGGTAAGAGAATTGCTTAAGCTCAAGAGTTTGAGGTTGCTATGAGCTGCTATGCCATGGCACTCTACCGAGGGCAACATACTGAGACTTGGTCTCAAATAATTACAATAATAATCCAGAGATTTATTCAATGAAAATAATCCATTTGTAGGAAATACTATTTTTTGCCAATGTATAGCCCTTGGTAAGCCTTAAAAGTTATATCTAGTCTTTGAGTAGTGCCCAATTCAATGTGTAAATGAACACTCCCTTAAGAATATACACGTAAACCTGTAATAATAATACCTTATAGTTACCCCATAGCACTTTGTAGTTTACAACAGTTTTTCCCTACATTAATTTGATACTTGTAAAAATCTTGTTGGTAGATATAGTAGATGTTATTACTCTCAGATGTAGAAACTGAGCCTGGAAACCTAAGTGACATTTCTGATGTTACACTGCCAATTCTGATTTTAAGTCCAATACTCTTTTCACTTTATCATAGCAGATCTATTTTCAGGTACAAAAAGATTGAGGAATACAGTGCTGTTAAACTCATATACATAACTAACAGAAATGGCTTAGAGCCAGCCCTTACATCACATATGAGTTTAGAATTGTATATAATATAAGGGTTACTAATATAAAACTTGTAGTGGTAATTAGAAGTTTTAGGTTAATAGATCTGCTATAAGTAAAATTCTTGAGAATTGAAAGGAGACAGCAAAAGAGTGAATAGTACAAATAGTATAATTATCAAAACTAAAACAAAATATTCTCTATATTTCAAATTTCGTAAGACCATCCCTATATTATAGCAGAGTACTAAAATTTATATTGATTTTATGACACCAAGTCATTAAGGGTGAATCTTATGCTGTATTTAGTGTACATGTAAGAAGGTATACAAACAACATGATATATTTCATACAAATTTATGTTAAATTGTTTAACATTGAAGAAAAGTATTCTTAAAGAAGTTAGTTCAATGCATATAGAAATATCCTTCTTCGGTATTCCCAATAATCATGCCAGTCAAATTAGAATTTACTATACTTATTTTCTTATTATTATCCTAAATTTGTCTATCTACCAGTTTTTAAAGAAGTAGATTTTTAAAAATATTCAATATTGGAAGAGAGATCAAATGGCAGATCATTATTTTTTTTTAGGTTCTGTTTACAGAGGAAGATGTCAAATTTTACCTCGCAGAACTTGCTCTTGCTTTGGATCATCTGCACCAATTAGGAATTGTATACAGAGACCTGAAGCCTGAAAAGTAAAGCTATATTCTCTTTTTCTATCACTGTTGTCTGTATTTCTAGAAGTGATTTTGGCATATATTAAGTATTTTAAATGTTATGAAATTTCATGTACATTAAATCAGCAGTATCAAACCTTTTTGACACCAGGGACCCATTTTATAGAAGACAATTTACATGTAACTGGGTGGGGTTGTATGGGGACAGGAGGCAGAGCTCAGGAGGTGATGCTGTGTTACCCAGTTCCTAACAGGCTATTGTCCTGCACTGGTCCATGGCCTGGGAGTGGGGAACTAAAGGATTAAATGGTACTTATATGTAAAACATAATCTTTATAAAACATGCACTGATTTTCTTTTTAATTTCAGATTAATATAAGTATACATATGATTAGAGTACATCATTTGCATTTGTAGGGTAAAGTCCAATTTGTAGTTAAGTCCATCAGTCAGTAAGTGTGTCATATACCCCTGCCATGTACCTGTTTGGTGCGAGTTTACTGAATCCCCTCTCCCCTCTCTCTTGCCTCTTCTTCAATGTAATTGTATTTTTCTCTCATGTGGACCTGTAGTTCTTCATCTACTAGTTTCAAATTAATACTTAGTACATGGGATCCTGGCTTTTTCATTCTTGAGATTCTAAGGGAAATTTTCTTCAACCTTACTCAGCTGAATACAAAAGTTGTAAAGTCTTCGTCATTTTTATGGCTGAATAGCCTAGGGAAAGATTTTATGAAAAAAAAATAAACTCCATTGGCAGTTGCAGCAACAAGAAAAATAAATAATTGTGACACACATTGGTTTCCAGTTAATCATTTAAAATTTTCCAAATGTACCTATTTTAAGTTTACTATGGTTTATATGTATTTTATGTAAAATTAATTTTTATTTACAGCATTTTACTTGATGAAATAGGATATATCAAGTTAACAGGTATGCTTATTTTCTTATTATACCATAAGCTAATTGTTTTATATTTTTAAATGTTTTAATGTATATTTGTCTAAACTTGTTTTATTTTTTCCTCTTTCTTGATTTGATTTGCACCTTGTCTTTTTAGTGGACTAAAGTTAATCTAAATTTTAGATACCTCTAAATACAGGTATTTGATATCATGAGCTCAGGTGGTGATGCTGAAATGTCATTTCTTAATTAGGATAAATTCCTCTATTGTATAATTTTAAATATTACATTGTTCTAATTGTAATATTACAATTATACTGTAGAGGAATTTATCCTAATTAAGAAATAATATTTAGTTTTTTGAATAGAAATACACCATCTTAGTGTCAGACTAAACGGAAAAGTTTATCATAATTAGTCACCACATTTGGAATATTGTTGACACTTTCTCTTCCCCTTCCCTAACTCATAGCCAACACTTAATACATTCTACATTGCTATACTTTTGTTAAAGAGTGTTATATAAATAGAAGCATATAGTTATCACACTCTTGAACATTTATCCTAGAGAAATAAAATCCTGTGTTCACTAAAAAAGCTACATATGAATGTTCATAGCAGCTATTTGTAATAGCCCAAGACTGGAAATGACCCAAATATCCTTCAAAGGGTGAATGGGTAACCATACTGTGGTACCTACATTCAGTGAAATAATACTAAGCAATAAAAAGGAAAGAACGTTTGACGTACCAAACAACTGGATGGATCTCAAGGATATTATGCTGAGCAAGCTAATCTCAAAAAGTTATGTATATTTTCAATAGATAGTAAATTCCGTATTTTATTTTTGGAATGTTAGAACAGAGATAAACTAAAGATGTGGTCTTTGTAGGGAATTTTGAACCAGCAGTTTAAAAGTAAGTTTCTTTAATCTCCTAAATATACTGCATCAATGTAAAAATAAGTATCAAGCTGTTACCTTGAAATGTGAAGTAAATGTGACAAAGTTCGAATAAAGTTTAGTGACTCTTACTGATTTTTTGTTTCATATATAAAAGACACCATGGGGTTGAAAATATTGAAAGAGGAAAGGAAAGGAAAAAAAATATGAGAACAATAGTGTTTTGAGATTTTATATAATATATAAATTTTTATTTTATAGCAATTAAATGTTAATTGTAAAGCTAATTAGAATTTAATTCCTCTTTTAATTTTTTTCTTAATAAATTGTACCTGTTTTATCATAAGGAAGAAAAGGAGGTGGGAAAGAGTAGGAAAAAACCCTACCTATAGTTTTCTACATTAAATAGGGGTATCCAACCTTCTCTCTTTTCTTCCCCACATTGGAGGAAGAGTCGTCTTGGGCCACTCCACACATTAAATACAGAAACACTAATGAAAGCTGATGAGCAAAAAGACTCAAGAAAGATCCATGTGTACTTTTTGTGACATTCGATACTACAAATAAGCAAAACAGTCCTCAAATAATTTATGTGAAGCCTACTAGCCATAGGTTGGACACCCCTATTGCAATATTAAGGTTCATTGGGTGGATGATGATATCAAGTTGTTTTATATTTAGTCTTATCATTTGAATTCTGCTTTTTATAGCATTTAGAGGCTTAAAGTTTCTGAGGAAGGAATGGTAGGTAAGTGTTAATTTATAAGCAAGGGACACAAGGAATGTAACCGGAAGAAAATGTGATGTATAATTTTTTTACAATTCAATCTGTTTTCCTTACAATGGCATAAACATTTAAAGAAAGTAAATAATAGTAAATACTAGATAATTTATATTTTTGTTATTATAACCTAGTTCAAGGTTTTGTAAAGAGTAACTTATGGATTTAACCTATCAGTTTTCCTGTGAGATTGATTGAAATATAACCTTTTACAGCAAGTATTTTAAAACTTTTTCATTTCATTGTTTTCTTTAATTTATTTTCCTTTTATTCCTTTTGTCTCTCTTTTTTATTCTATTCCTAACATCTTTGTATCTTTCCTCCCTTTATACTTTTCTTCTTATCTCTTTCCTTCCATTTTGAATAATGCACATATAAGCCAAAAGTGCCAGACTGATTGCTATTTGTCATTGATATCAGTAGGCTCTGTGTGGGTTTTAGTGATTTAGGAATTTCTCAACTAGGTAGGGTCCTCCCCAGCATTTTGTGTTTTTCTCAGAGCATTTTAAGACAACAGCAGTACCTTTTATTTCATCTATCTACTTTAAAAATCCTCCATGCCTATGAAATGAATCTAATATTTAGCAGGCTACTCTGGAATGACAATGGCCTGTAGAAAGGCTCCTGTTATAACTGTACTTTGAGTCTGATTGGCCTCATACTAAAATTATGATTGTATAGCAAAACAACAGTAGAATTAATGGATAACCGCAAGTATCTGCATATTTGCTAAAATTCTATTTATGTTGTCCTTAATACTTACTTTCCCCCTGAACATTTCTATCCCTTCCATAGTCCATATAAAATGTATATAACATGAATTGCCTATTTAGAAAACAACATTTATATAATATTTCATTAAAAACATAATTGAACTGTTAGTGGTTGCCATAATGTGTTTTCTGAGGGACATAATTTAACTTTTATAAAGAGAGGAACGAAAAAAATGTAGAGTGGTCAAAATGTAGTCACATGGTTCTTGAGCTGAGTATGTAAGAAAAAAATGTATATATAAGAAAATAATTCTATGATAGCTCATGCTTGTAAACCCAGCACTCTGTGAGGCTAAGATGGAATGATTACTTGATCTCAGGAGTTTGAGAGCAGCCTAAGAAAGAGTGAAACTCCATCTTTACTAAATATACATACATATATATATACATATATATATTATTATTGTGTATATACATATGTATATACACATATATACTCAATATGGATCAAAAATTTAAGTCTAAGGCATGAAACAAGAAAAATCCTAGAAGCAAGTGTGGGAAAAACAACTCTGTATTTTTTTTTTTTGAGATAACATCTTACTTAGTTGCCCTCAGTAGAATGGCATAGTGTCATAGTTCACAGCACACTCAAACTCTTGGAGTCAAGCAATTCTCTTGCCTTAGCCTCCCAAGTAGCCGAGACTATAAGCACCTGCCACAACACCTGGCTATTTTTAGAGATAGGGTCTTGCTCTTGCTCAGGCTGGTCTTGAACTTCTGAGCTCAGGCAGTCCACCCACCTTGGCCTCCCAGAGTGCTAGGATTACAGGCATGAGCCACTGCACCCAGACTGGAAAAACTCTTAGTAATGTCAGCCTGGCAAAAAATTTTACAAGGAAAAAGTCATTGGAATTCGCAACAATAATAAAAATAAAGAAATGGAACTTAATTAAGCTGAAAAACTTCTGTATACCTAAGGACACAACAATTAATACAAATGGACAACCTTCAAAATAAGAAAAGATATTTGCATGTTACTAATCTATCAATGGGCTGATACCTAGACTCTACTGAGAACTCAATCAACAGAAAAAGAACAAAAAATCCCATCTATCATATCATAGGGCAAGAGAAATGAACTGAGCCTTCTCTGATGAAGACAGATGAATGGCTAGCAAATATATGGAATAATTCTCAGAGTCTCTAATTATCAGAGAAATGTAAATCAAAACCATGCTGAGAAATCACCTAACTCCAGTGAGAATAGCCCACATGAAAAAGTCCCGGAGCTGCACTTGTTGACATGGATGTGTAGAGAAAGGAACACTTTAACACCGTTGGTGGGATTGTAAACTAATATAGCATTTTGGAAGGAAGTATGGAAAATACTCAAAGAACTCAAATTAGACCTTCCATTTGATCCCTCAATCTCATTACTAGGCATCTACTATCCAGAAGAAAAAAATCATTCTATCATAAGGATATTTCCCCTAGATTGTTTATCACAGCTCAGCTTATAACTGCCAAGATGTGAAAACAATCTAAGTGTCCATGAACTCATAAATGGATTAATAAACTGTGTTATATGTTTACCAGGAATACTATTCAGACCTAAAAAAAGATGGAGACTTTGCATCTTTTGTATTGACCTGGATGGGGCTGAAACACATTCTTCTTAGTAAAGTATCACAAGAATGGAAAAGCAAGTATACAGTGCACTCAATACTAATAATAAAGCTAGTAGATAATCTAATACATATCCACATAAAATCAAATCTCAATTCAATTCAAGATGGGGGGGCCGAAGAGAGGAGGAGGGAGAAGGATCAGTGTACTTCCACCTAATGGGCACAATGTGGAGGTATATTGCACACCTCCTGAGATCAGGACACAACTTCAATAGGGACTTTACTGAACAATTGCAAACATTATAACCTAAGTGTACACTCATGTTATTCTGCAATTTAAAAGAGAAAAAATATATAAAAATTAGCCAGGTGCTATGGAGGGCACCTGTAGTCCCAGCTACTTAGGATGCTGAGGCAAGAGGATTGCTTGAACCCGAAGTTTGACGTTGCTGTGAGCTAGGCTGATAACACAGCACTCTAGCCCAGGTAACAGAATGAAACTCTGTAATAAATAAATAAATAATATAAGTGACTTTTTAAATAAAACTATTGAGCATTGTTAGAAAATCAGTTTTGACAGGCCCTAAAATTAAGTGTGATTGTTGATATTTTATTGCAAGAGAGCAATATAGGGCTTATCCCTTTTTTATTTTCAAAATTAAGGTAAAATTTACATATAAGAAAACTCATTCTTCTGATATCTTTTGGCGATGGAATGACTTTGTATCTCTGTTGCTTCAGTGTCAATCTCCTAGCTGTGTTATCATACTACTGATTTGTAAGATGTTACCATGAGGGAAACTGGTTAAAGTGTAAATAGGATCTCTGTGGTATTTGCTATAACCAACCATGAAATTACAATTATCTCAAAATGTAAAGCTTAATTTTTTAAAAAAATCACTTTTTGATGTTTAGTTCTGCAAATTTTGGTGAGGGAATAATCTTGTAAATACCACCAAAATAAAAATATAGAATAGTTCCCTAAACCCGAAAATTCTCCCATTATAAATTAGTACTCTCCTTACCCCAAGCCAACCCCCCCACTTTCTGTCTCCAGTTTTTTTTTAATCTTTTCTATAATGTAATATAAACAGATGCATATAATATATAGCCTTATGAATCTGGCTTCATTTACTAAACATGGTACATTTTAGATTCATCATATCATTGTGTGCATCAATGATTGGTTCTTAAATAGCTGAATATTGTACCTCTTAATGGTGGTACCATGGTTTCCTGGTTTTAGCAATGATGAATAAAACCACTGTAAACATTCATGTACGGGTTTTAATGTGGACATAATTTTTTATTTCAATAAATACTTGAGAATTAGAATTACTTGGTCATATTCTAAGTGTATTTAACTTAACAAGAAACCTAAAAGCTCTTTTCCAAGGTGGCTATCCCATTTTGGATACCCATCAGCAATGTATGATAGGGTTCCATTTGTTCTGCATCCTCACCAGCCCTTGATATTGTCAGTATTTTTTATTTTAGTTATTCTAGTATAAATGGTATCTCATCATTTTTATTTGTATTATTCTAATAATTAATGACAATCAATATATTTTTGTGTTTATTTCTTTGAAGAAGTGTCTCTTGAGATATTTTGTCCTTTTTCAGAAATAGCATTGTTTGTTCTTTTATTTATTTATTTATTTATTATTAAATCATAGCTATGTACAATAATGAATTTATGGGTTACAATGTACTGGTTTTATATACAATTTGAAATACTTACAATAAACTGGTTAACATAGCCTTCACTGAACTTTCTTAATTATTGTATTAAGTTGTTTATACTCTACATTTAGTAGATTTGACATGTACCCTTGTAAATGCATCACAGGTGTGGTCTGACCAAATACCCTCCCTCCATCCATCCTCTCCCCTCCCCTCCCCTCATCTTCCTCTTCCCCCTCCATCTTGGGTTATAGTTGGGTTATAGTTTTCATATGGAAGTGTGGGTGATTATATATTGGTTTCATAGTAGAACTGAGTACATTGGGTACTTTTTCTTCCATTCTTGAGATACTTTATTAAGAAGAATATGTTCCATCTCCATCCATGTAAACATAAAAGAAGTAAAGTCTCCATCTTTTTAAAGGCTGTATAATATTCCATGGTATACATATACTACAATTTATTAATCCATTCTGGCATCATTTCTTGAAAAGATTGTCCTGAATTCATGGAATTGCTTTTATACCTTTGTGAGAAATCAATTTGACAACATACAGCCAGTTCTATCAGAGTGTGACACAATCTTAACCAGAACAATGTACAAAATGGGATAAGATGTGTTACACTAAAATGTTTGGTCAGTGAAACACTAAGAAAAGAAAACTAGTAAAAATAGTTGCACTATTTTACATTCTCTAAATGATAAATACATAAAGATTATAATAAATATGGTAGCTTAACTTGAAAAAGACCTGAAATTTTCTTGTTGATATAGGTGTCAGAAAAATTGCAGTTTATAAATATAATGAAGTAGTACAAGATAGATGTTCTGAAATTGTAAGGAAAGTTACTGCACTAGATGTGAATAAGAGTGACTTCTAACAAAGAATGAACTGAAGTAGCTGGTAGATCTTTGAGATATGAAAATGTGTGCATTTTATGTATTTCTGCTTGACTAAGTTCACCTAGGTGCAATTTTCTGAGTTCACTTCATTTTTCTTGCAGACAAAAGCATTTATAAAGCAACATAAAATTTGTGTTATGCTCAAATTGTTTGGTAATATTTTGGGAAAAATTATTAAAATAAGCATTATGGCATAACTAACCATGTATGTCAGTCTATTATCGGACACTATTCTGTTCCATTGATATATATGTCTAGCCTTTCTCCAATATATTGTCTTCATTATTGTAGTTTTGTAGTTTAAGTTTTAAAATCAAGTAGTGAAAGT